GCGATTATAATAGATCGAGTACGTGACAGGGGTGACCAATGTTGCTGGAGCGGAGGATGAACTGACAGTTGGCAGTTTGAGCTTTTAGGATCCCAAACAAAGGAAAATATGCTAAGTGACTCCTTACTTGTGTAGTAGCATACTCGAATACGAGTTCACCCCACTTCAACAGTTTCAAAGGTTTTTCCTTTAAGATTCAACTGTTACAGAGCAAATAAGAAAATCTTTATATAATAAATTACCCGTTCAGAACAATGAAATTCGAAAAGCGATCAAATAATATTAAGCATAATATAGCATATGAATGAGATCGATGTGATTACGGTCGGCATCCTGTGCCTACCCTGTTGAAAGCATGAGCTTCAAATACTATCTAAGAAATTAGATTACTTGGCGAGAGGCATCACTGATACCTACAGAACTTTCAGAGTTGACCCATTTCTAAAAATTATTATCAGTTTAGCATGGCCAACTCATTAAGGTCTATAAATTACAATAAATTACGATGTACATCATTTCTAACATATGCATAATCATTATGATCAGTAGGACCTCCGAAACCATCAACGAACCTCGCTGGACCATAGCCATCATGCGAAATATTGATGCCTCTAAAAAAATAAGTTTAAGCTAGGGAAACCTTACTATGGACTTCCTTTGAAACTCTTTCTGACTGCTTTTTTCAACGAATGGTTTTTCAAGCCGCCGGCTGTGGGTACTTCTTCCTGAAAATCGCGTCGCGCTCGCTGCACCCGAGGGAGGTTTAAATTGCCGGGTATAAGATACGGTAGCCACCGCGGAACCAGTGCCGCTTGCCGTGGGAATTCGGGGAGAATTACAGCCACGGAGCTGTCACAAATGCTGCTGCAGCTACCACTACCCTTTTGATACCCGTGCGACAATATCCAGGGATACAATGGGAGATGACAGCAAAATCCTCTTCTCAGAAAGTTCTTGTTCAGTTCCAGCTAGCTGCTACAAGTTGAAGAAAGGATTAGGAAACAAGTGGTTAGCGATGATTCTGTTTTGCCTTTTTTCTTGGGTGAAGTATAAGTTGAGTGTAGGTCCCATATGTATCTTATGATCGTGTTGTATTTTCTTTGACAATAGCTGTAAAATGTGAAGAAGTAGTGAGTCCAACCTCCTCCACTGCCATATGTACAATCGCTGTCAACGAATCTGACCCATTGCCTCATCGCCCCCCCCCCCCCCCCCCCCCCCCCCCCCCCCCCCC